AATGATCCGGTGGAGCACAGGGAAGGTGTTACCAGCACCGTGGGCCCGGCGCTGCCTCACAGAGCGCCGTGGGTCTTTGGCAGCTGAAGTCCATCAGACAGCGGCAGTGCAGGAGCAGAGCCAGGCAGCCGGAGCTGCACTGGGGGAGGGCACGAGCACACAGCAAAGACTCCGACACGCTGCAGATTTGGCAGCTGCAGCTTCTGCGGCACTTGCTTCTGGAGGGTTTGGAGAGTGGCAATGTCATGTCCACCTCAAAGCAACAGCACGGCCGTGGGCAGATTCACGTTTGCTCCCTTAAAGTTCAGTGGCTGGGCGTTGGATTTAAGCTGAAATTTCCCTGATGGTCCAAAATGTTTATTGCTTGCTTCTCTCATATATCGAAGCTCTCTTGTTTGGACACATGATGTATCAACTACAAGATCATTTTGTGACTCCAAACTGGGGTTATTTTCCATAATAAAGTAGGAATGAATGTTTCTGTTGGGGGCAGAAAAAAACTTTAATTTCCAAACTTGAATCTTCCAAGAGGCAATGAAGAAAATCATTCCTTACTTTTTACTCGTTCACACCACAGGGCCAGGTGAGAGCAGGGCAGGAGGTTGGTGCTCACGGAGCTGCCCTTGCAGGGAGGGGCAGAAAGGGCTCCGGGCTTCTCCAGAGGAAACCTCCTGAGTGTGAGATCCATCCCGGCTGAGTCCACTTCTCCCACAGGCAGTGCCCTGGAGCCGGTGGCCAAGGCTGCCTCCTCCAGCCCTAGGGCTACTCTGGGGCCAGGGTACAGGTTCTGCCCCAAACCTCCATCTCAGCCTCTGTCCTCACCCTGGCCATGAGGAAAACACATACTGGTGCCTTCAGAATATATTGAGAGTCATAAAGGATTTTCCCTTTCCTGGTTCTGCCCATGCATAGCTGGGCAAATTGGCACACGAGCAAGCTGGAATGGCCTCTGTTGGGGACTGAGGAGCTGGATTTTTTTGTTTTTCTCTTTAGGAATTTTCCCCATTACGTGTTGCTAGCACACGGAAATGACTGATACTTCAGAGAGGAGAAAGAAGTTGTCAGCTCAGGGGAGCGGTGCCGCTGGCTACTCTGGCTTTACCTGAGGTTTCCCGTGGAGGGCAGAGATACCTCGAGCTTTGGGTTGGGAAAACGGCGTTGGGTTCAGCCTCTCGTGCTCCCGACATTCGGAGGGGAGAGAGGCTGCGGCCGCTGTGGGGAGAATTCGTCAGCACTGCGAGGTTCTGCCTTCTGCTGCCTTTCTTCTCCCATGATTGGAGCTCTGCTCGTTAGACTGCAGCGGGTTTTTTTGCAAG